TCAGCAGGAGAGGACTCTTTAAAGTAGAGACACTACATACTGATATACACCTGAACATCAGCAGGAGAGGACTCTTTAAAGTAGAGACATTACACACTGATATACACCTGAACATCAGCAGGAGAGGACTCTTTAAAGTAGAGACACTACATACTGATATACACCTGAACATCAGCAGGAGAGGACTCTTTAAAGTAGAGACACTACATACTGATATACACCTGAATATCAGCAGGAGAGGACTCTTTAAAGTAGAGACACTAAATACTGATATACACCTGAACATCAGCAGGAGAGGACTCTTTAAAGTAGAGACACTACATACTGATATACACCTGAACATCAGCAGGAGAGGACTCTTTAAAGTAGAGACATTACACACTGATATACACCTGAACATCAGCAGGAGAGGACTCTTTAAAGTAGAGACACTACATACTGATATACACCTGAACATCAGCAGGAGAGGACTCTTTAAAGTAGAGGCATTACATACTGATATACACCTGAACATCAGCAGGAGAGGACTCTTTAAAGTAGAGACACTACATACTGATATACACCTGAACATCAGCAGGAGAGGACTCTTTAAAGTAGAGACATTACATACTGATATACACCTGAACATCAGCAGGAGAGTACTCTTTAAAGTAGAGACACTACATACTGATATACAGCTGAACATCAGCAGGAGAGGACTCTTTAAAGTAGAGACACTACATACTGATATACAGCTGAACATCAGCAGGAGAGGACTCTTTAAAGTAGAGACACTACATACTGATATACACCTGAACATCAGCAGGAGAGGACTCTTTAAAGTAGAGACACTACATACTGAAATACACATTACTTGTTAGACGCTTTTATCAATACTGTGGGCAATCCCCACAGGAGCAATTTGGGGTGAAGTGTCTTGCCCAGGGACACGACGACATGCTGACTGCAGTGGGGTTTGAACCTGTGACCCCCTGATCCGAACACCTACGGACAACCCACTGCGCCACACACCTCCCTGAAAATCAGCAGGAGAGGACTCTTTAAAGTAGAGACACTACATACTGTAACAACACTTACACATGTAAATAACACATTGTAAGCTACATTTTTAGTTTTTTGGTAATCTAAAACATAGACAAGTATGGTTTGCCCTTAAGATGTCTTTGTGTCATTTGTATGTGTGCACCCTTCCCATATGGACAGGAAGAGTGGACAGCTAAGCGTTGCTGGTGGAGGGAGAGGTGTGGAGAGGGCAGAGGTGGGGACTCGAGTCACATGACTTGACTCGAGTCGGACTCGAGTCGCATATTTTTGGACTTGAGACTTGCTTGACTAACATTGATAAAAGACTTGACTTGACTTTGACTTGGTATTCATGACTTGAGACTTGACTTAAGCTTGAGACAGATGACTTGAAAGGACTTGACTTTTTAAAATGAAATATTTGCGTTTGTTTTTGTATTGAGATATTACATTTCGTTTTTTCGAAACGTGATTGGGTGATTATAGCACCGTGCGCGCAAACCTGGCAACCCACTAGCAGTGTTGCCAACTTGGCGACTTTCTCGTTAAATTCGGCGGCTTTCCAAACCCTCCGGCTACTTATTTTTGTCAAAAGCGACTAACGACTAATTTAACGACTTGTAATGGTGTTATTAGGGACTTTTCTGGTGTTTGGAGACTCAAATATTGTTCAGCAGTTAACGAGCCGCGGGTGCTGCCGTGAGCCCCTCTGCCCTCCCATAGTACTCACAGGCGCTCGGCCTCCCGCAGCAGCTCAGCTGCAGTCAGAGCAGAGAGGAGACAGCCACACTCTCCCGCGTCGAGACTGCAAATGAATTGCGCATGAGCGGGATTTAAATGTAAAATGTAAATGTTTCTTCACTGTCACACTATAATAAATAACTGCCTTTGCTTTGCTTTGACTCACACAGCCTCAGTCACTTAATCACCTCGTCCACTGTGTGTGTGCCTCTGTGACAAGCTAAACATCCACGGAGGTCATCATGTCACAGTCTAAAGTTACTGTGGCCTATTCACAAAAGTACAGAAAGGAGTGGGAATCAAACCCTGAGTTTAAAGGATGGTTGAAGCCATTTATTGGAGATGACACACGGGCCTACTGATATAGGCCTACTGCCTTTATTGTAAGGGAGATTTCTACTAAAAACTACTAAAAAATCCTGTAACTGCTCTGCTGACTTTCTACCCTTTTTCTACATTGGTTCCAGCGTGTGAAGATTAACGGCGTCGGCTTCCGTTAGCCTCAGAGTAATTGTTAAGACAGCGATGAACAGTCCTTAGCTCTAATCCCCAAATCAAAGAGAAGTTGCGCAGAACACCAACATTCAGGTTTGATTTCCTTCACTCAAAAAAAACATGACTTAATCTTTCCTTCCTTTCAGAGATCGCAGCGCAGAAGCTAGACTTACCTCCTGTATTTACTAATTAGCGAGAATGTGATTCAGGGTTCTTGAATTCACTTCCCACAGAACAGTACAAATAATGTAAGCTTTATGAAAGAAAAAGACAAAGGTGGTATTTCTAAGTGAGTCTGGAGATGTTGTAACATGCAGTAGGGTGTGACATATACAGCACACTGTGAGGTAAAAAGGAGAGGAAGAAAATTGTCTCGGAGTGTGACTACAAAGATAGATGTGTGTGGAGAAGAGAAACATATACAGAGATGAAAGGTTAAGGGAGAACAAAGCATGTCGAGTAGTGAGCATGGTTAAATAATTGTTGTTTTATTGTGCATGCACTGTGCAAATGTACTCTAGGTAGAAGCTGTGGCATAATCCTGAGGGAGCAACACTATCAACAGACAAAGACTTGCATACCATTTATTCATCCAATTTGACCTGACAGCTAATTCCATTTTTTTATGAACACACATATGTTAATATCCCTTCATATTTCCTTCTTGGCTTCAATTCAAACTGTCCTTTGGTGTTTGTGTGGAGCCCAAGGCTGAGCGTCATTACGGTGCTCGGCAGGCTCATTGCAGATCTATTATGTTGATTTGACTCCATGAGGTGGTAGAGAAAGCACTTGCTATGTGAGAAGCAGAGTAATGTGATTATATTACAGGAGCAGCAGGGTTGTTTGATAAGTATAGGGCCAGGCCACGGCTGTAGATGGGCCCCGGTGCCCTGTAGCTCCACAGTTTGGGAGCACATTCATTAACAGCCACAGATTATTACCAACAGCTTGTGCTGGGTACTGCCCAGCACACACACCATCATAAACATTCACATCTGTACACTGTCACTGTTCAAATTGAATGCATTCATTCTCTAATTTGATTACATTATTTCCTTGTTTGATGTATATGATGCTGTGTGTGCACACTGCGAACAGGAGATAAGAAGCATCACCACATGAGGACCAATTTGCTTACTTTCTTAGTCGGAGAAACTTTATTCTCTCTCTCTATTTAGATGTCACTGTTGGTGGCAAAGCTATGAGTTCTTAGATGGGGAATATTAATATTAATATCCGCTTTTCTTCTGTCTCACTAAAACCCACCCTCTTGCATCCTCCAGCTCCATACAAAACATGGCTTCTTGTGTAGGAGAGGACTCTTTTAGAGTAGAACACTTAAACCAGTTGTTAATGACTTATGAAACTATTTTGATAGTATTCAATCAAACTTCAAATTCACATTGTTTATCAGAAGAATAAACTATGACAATATTATTATTCAGTCATGAAGCTAGTCCTTATTGTAACTTCAACTTGAGGCGCTCCTATCAAGACTAGCGATTCACTTCCCACTGCGTACATGCCCTCATTCTCACTCTGTCTGAAATTCAATATTGTTTTTTGTGTCACACACAAACACCCACAAAAAACGTGGCTGTGTTGCCTCGGGGTCGTGACAGTGCTGCTGCGGTTCTGAGGAGGTGATGGCAGACAGTCAGCAGCAAACAGCAGACACCAACCGACTGTGTGCACGAGCCTGTGAACTGTACGCACTCTGAGGAGATACATGTGTCAGAGACATATCTGTAATGTTCAGCCTCATATAAATGTGGTTTAATTGAGTCTTGTGATAATACTGTGACATGAAAGGTGTAAATGAATACAAATAGAACGATCTGAACTGCGACAGGGAAGGCAGAGAGTTGCGACGTGACTTTCTGGAAGTTTTGTCAGGCAGCTAACTTTATGTAAGACAGTGTTAGAATTACTCGTGGTACATACATAGCTCTGGCTGAGGAACATATTAAGCTATTAGCATGTTAAGACATTTTAGGTCATGAACATTTCCCAACGAGGGGGTGCAGTTCTTCCAAAGCTGGATAGTTCATATTTATGAAATGTGTTCAGATCTTCCCGGCGTATTCAAAGGATGGGTATATATTTAGTATACATGCTGTAACACTTAGACATACAATATTTACAGAAAAAACTCGAACAGGGTATGGCAACTGTACATTCTTATTGTTTGTGCTTCTTAAGCTGCCTTTTGTGTATACTTATGGAAATGTTCCTTTATCTTCAGGAGTCTTCAGTGGAGTGCTGCTCGGGGACAGGGGTTATGCCTGCCAGCCTTTCCTAATGACCCCATATCCTGACCCTGGTGAAGGGCCACTTTCAATGTGGCCCATACCAAAACCAGGGTCAGGATAGAAATGACCTTTGGACTACTGAAGGCCCGATTCACCTGCCTGTGAGGGCTCAGAGTGGCCCTTGAAAGAGCGGTTCCCATCATAACGGCCTGTGTTGTGCTGCACAACATTGCAACCATGAGGAATGAGAGGGCCCCTCATGCAATCCCCCAACCTCCTGATGTGGTAGACCCCATCACCCTGGACTACCCTACTGGCAGGGCTGTCAGAGATGCTATTGCATGTTATATTGGCCAATATTTCTTGGTTTACTTTTTCTTTAAAGACAAAAGGGATTTGTGTTTTAGGTATCCTAAAAGATGTAAAGGTCACCTTATGCACCTTTCATTTGACTTGAAAAAAAATTACTGAATGTTACAAAATTACCTGTCTTTCTCTCTCCAATTTCTCCACCTCCAGCTTTGTTTTTTCCATCAACAGCTTCTGGTGCTCTATGAGGAGGTCATTCAATTGGATGCTTTGGACTAGGGTCCGTTTGTACAGGGCCCGCACAGTGTCTGCTTCAGCCTGAAACACATGAAACACATATATGTTGCTTTAACATTCAAGCATGGCTCACAGCAAGAAAGCTGACAATTTTAAACTTGACTATACTTTTACATTTTGTTTAATTAATTACTTGTCGTGAGGGCCTAGATGAGGGCCTAGATGAGGGCTTAGATGAGGGCCTAGATGAGGGCCCAGGCTGCGGGGGAGGAATCGGCACCCGCTGTGGGGGAGGAATCGGCACCTGCTGTGGGGGAGGAATCGGCACCTGCTGTGGGGGAGGAATCGGCACCTGCTGTGGGGGAGGAATCAGCACCTGCTGTGGGGGAGGAATCAGCACCTGTAGCTGCCGGGGAGGAAGAGTTCCTTCTTCCTGCGAATTGAGCAAAGCAAATATATTTTCAATACACAGTAGTTTTTTGTCCCATGTGCAGACCACCACCATGTGCAAGTAATCAGAAAGAATCAATTAAAGCAACGTGTCCACACCATCTCTGCGCTCTCTGACAGTGTGTCATCCTCATCTAGGCCCCCCTGAAAAGAAGAAGAAATGTAAATGGTCTATTTTATCCATATTCAGCTCAAGGTGACATACCAAAGGTTACGTTACCTCTGTATGAGGTATAGTTGTTGATTGGGGGGGGGGGGCAGCAACACCATGTTCTTCCCATCATCTGCAGAACAATAAAATACATGTTACTTACTCCCACAAAAATAGATATATAATTGTGTTTTATAGCAACCCAGCTGTTTCAAGCTCCCTGAATCTTACCCTGTATATAAAGGTGGTGGGAGCTGCTGCAACCAGGGTCTGTAGAGAACCCCCCTTCCACCCCTACCATCAAGGGCCGACCCTCATTGTTGCTGAGGGCCAGCTCCTCGGCAGGGGTGAACTCTGCTGGAGGAGGGCCCCTCCTTTTTTTTCTTGTTGGCTGCAAGAATTGGGAAAAAATGTGACCGCTTTCCTATACAGTTATGAAACCCAGACCAATTGAAGCAATACAAAACGTGTATTTTCAAGATCTCAAAAGAGGGACATTTACCAGATTGAAGGATGTTCTTGTATTTTATTTTGGTCTGTTCCCAGGTCCTTTTGGAGCCGCCGGGATTACATCTGAAAAACGAAACGAAAAATGTCATGTACAGCTTGAATTAAAAATAAATGCTATAAATTAAAAGGATAAAAAGAACATTAGGCTTAAAGCATGGCTCAAAGTCCACTTGTGACCCTCGGGCGATGATATGATAAAGACAAAAAGGCTGCCACTCAATGATCAATTTGGTATTTTAATGACTATTTATCCGCTGAACTAGAAAATTAATCTGGAAGCGTGACATGACTGCCGTGCATCCAATACACTTTTTAAAGATGTGCAGCTGTGCACGCTGTTACATAGGACGTAATTTACTTACGCATTCACAGAGTCAGCAATTTGTTGCCAACCACTTTGGCGACTTTTGGCAGCCGCAACCGTGTTGCTTTTAACTTTTATCATGTGCTTGAAGTCCTCAAAGCGGCTCATTATAACACTTTGCTCCTCCGCTGTGAAGTACGCTGCTCTAGCCTTGTCCATGTTTGTGATTGGTCGAATGCTCCAGATTCCACCCATTGTATGTGAACGCGCACCTAACTAGATAGGACACGGCTGGCTTGAGATCGAGTTGATAGCCAGCGTCGTAGGACAGTTTAGCGAGAGCGTTTTTCTTTTTTGGATTAAGTCAACCGGATAACTCAAAACATATCCAGGATATGTTGAACTAGATTCTAAGTATACCCCCCTGGTCCGGAGCAGGTTAGGTTGCAGGCTAAGAAATCAACTCAGTGAAAGCACCGCCTGCTGACCAATCAGAGCTCCGTGTGCGGAGTTTAAAGCTATCAAGTCATATTACAGGATAGAGGAAATACAGAAAAACTGCCATTGAACGTGAAAATGAATAGAATATCCCCTCCCATCTTCAGAGCAATCTGACTATTATAACATTAGCGTTAAGAAAGCTTACTTAAATATCTGCCACAACATAAGTAACCGGATCAGAGTAACATTAAGTACAGTCCGCGGCACTGTGAGTGCAGACGTAGATGTGTCCCATTATCATTCATATCATATCACATCATAATGTATCATATATTTCCTTATCTGAGTCAGCTGAGCCGTATCTGGCCGTGCAACACTCACAGTGTCACATACTTTATGCAGAAGTATTATTTTAAGCAACACATTAAGTTGACGAAAAACACTCGAGTCAAATGTAATTAAAGTCAGATCCACTCGTGTCTTGGACGGGGCAGTGATTTCATAAACCTGTTAATGTACGCATTCAAACACTTTTTCTTTTACCAGCTGTATTCACCTTGCAGGTGCAGCTATGTGGCTTTTATCCTGGATAAAGTGTTTAAGACATGGATGTTTAAAGTTTAACTTCTTCATATTTGACTAATATTAAAGTTCACTTTTCATTCAGGAAGTATGACGCTGCGCTGTCAGTACGCTTCTCCATGTTTGAGATTGGTCGAATGCTCCAAATACCACCCCTTTCATGTGAACGCGCACCTAACTAGATAGGACACGGCTGGCTTGAGCGATCCACTTGATAACCAGCGTCGTAGTACAGTTTAGCGAGAGCGCGTATGTTTTGGATTGGGCCAACCGGCTAACTCAAACATATCCAGGTTAGGAAAATCCGGCTTCGTAGTACAGGCCTCTGGTGTGTAATGTGCATGAACAGCAGACATGTTGATTATTTATTAATAGCATTTTATGTGTGAAAAACGTCTCATCCCAAGCCAGTCAGACCAAACAAAACTAAGGTACATTATTGTCTGTCTGGCTGTGGTATTAGCCGGTCTAAATGGATTTAACAGAAGTCTGTGAAATAATTGAGTATATAAATCACTGAAACTCTTTAATCTGTTTCTAGTGTCGATACTCGTGGCAATTGGGTGTGTGTGGGTGTGTTGTTTTTTGTATGGAAAGGGATAGCACAGCAATGAAAATAGTCCAAGCATCATTATGACAAAACATTGCACATTATTTCCTTCCTATTTCTTTATCTTGACTTACCTACACTCACAGCATCAGATTAAAATCGCCATAGCAAGGGATCTGATCTGACCTGTGCAAATGTAAGAGCAAATAATGTCCTTTTCTACTGTACACAGAGAAATGAAAAAAACAATATTTCTGTCACTTGAGGGGGAAAATGGGAAGTCAGCATTGCAAACTAAAACACAGAAGTTGTGTTGACGTATTAAGGATTAAAACTGGGTATAGCCTGTATCAGCCTGTATGGAAATGAACCAGCATGCATGGACACACACACATATAGAGCATACATTATGCGTCCTGCCATATGTAAGACATTTGTAGACATATATAAAGACTATATATTATTGAATTACAATTAAGATAATAAGATTAGATATACTTTATTTGATCTAACATATTGATGTTTTTTCGTTATAGCAGCTTGTGAAAACCATAACAAATAAGTGATTAAATGCTACAGTATTCAGCAAACACAACTGCAGAGCTGCAAACATTGCAAACAGACTAAGGTCTACAACACCAAGTTGTCTTTGTGTATTTGTGAATGAAGCGCCATCTCATGGTTAAATCCTGTAATTGAACAAATGGGGAAATTTGGCAACGCCCTCTTAGCAATTTGGCAACGCCCCCAGCCACTGGGATCCGCTGGGTGGAGTCCTATCTGGAGTGCCACATCTGTATAAACTATGGACGCCCCCTAACACCTGCATCAACGCCTCTGTTCAGACACATACTAAAAAGGAAATGTGTTTTTACCAGATGAAATTATCTCAATTGAATCTATAGAGGAACTGTAAGTACTGTTTTACAGGAAGTCATTTCAGTTTTCCAGCAATCAGGCATGCGATTAACTGGCATGAGGCAATATTATATATGTTCTGTCATGCCACACTAACGGCCCGTCCACACAGCAGCGTTAAAAAAATCTTGGAGGTGGGCGTATCTGAAGCTTGGGGATTTTTTGCGAGCAAGGCACCAACAACCAATCACATGAATCTCCCGCCCCCGACATACGAAGCAAAAAAGCCCGAAGTAAACTGGATATAAACTCCCCAAACAGGCGAAAACCTACCACTGTCTCTGCCACCTCCCTCCATGCCTGGCTCCTCCGGTTTATATCCCGGTAGGTAAATAGGGACTGGTCATAAAGCACCGGGTGATTCCCTACCGCTAATTTCTCCTCCATGTTTTAGAATATGAGGAAATGACCTGCGGTATGTCTCTCCCAGCATACACGCGGTTTGATTGGCTAGAGCTTGAACTGTCAGATTTGCGTACACGGGATTTGATTGGCTGACGCTTCCACCTCAGCTTCAAAAGTTGAACATTGCTCAACTTTGAATCCTGAAAATCCTGAAAATCTCCGCTCGCCTGCCCACAATGCAGTTCGGCGAAAAGTGAGGCAAAGTGACGTCACCCCATTCAAAGTGAATGGGCAGAAGCGTTCCAAGATCTTTTAACCGCTGCTGTGTGGACGCTCCGTAACAGATGTTCTGTCTTTAGTGCTCGCTGCTGGTTCCACTGCTCCTTAGAATTTCATTACACACATTAGTGCAGCTTGTGTTTTCTGTATGTATTTTCATTTAGGATAAACATTGACATGGATATTGCTTATCAAATCATGGCATTTTTAACTAAGATAAATTGTTGCAGATTTTCCAGTGGAGTGTGTTTAATGACTCGTAAATGTATATGTTATAACTCAGCCAGTCTGTTACAAAGCTTAGTGTATTGATGTAGTGACGTTTTAGTCCTGCTGTTATTTTAAAGTAATTAGTTAACAACAGTGATGGCTGTGTGTTCGTCAGTTTAGTTAAAACTGTCCAGCCTGGAGTCTACTTTAGGGAACCTTACACTTTTTTCTCTATTTAAAGGTATTCCAAACCAGGTTTTCAGAAGTGAAGCTGTTAATAAAGTTTCTTCCCTTTCAAAGTACTCTGCAGCCTGACTGTCACCTTTCATGAGAAGACAACGGGTTAAACAAACAGCTTAGAATTCCACAACCTCAGCAGGCAGTTTGATATCATATCTAATCCCATAAAGCAGCAGAAAGGAGCTCCACTGCCCCCAGTAGAGGGGCCAGGAGCCTAGTTGGTAGTGTGGCTGCGGTTGCTGCACCGCTGCTCTGTTGTTTTATGGTGGACGAGCTCGCGTTTGATAGCACCCTGGTTTCCTGGCTTGTGGTCTCAAACAGTGTGTAAATGTTTGCTGGATGGATGTTTGGATGTCGTTACCTGGAACAGGATTTTATTGCAGCCCCTCCCTTCTCTATATATCTCTCTATCAGAACCAGTACAAGAACAGACAACAGACCGAAAGAGATATACACCAGTCCTGCATTTACTGTTGATATCTCCTTAAAGCCTCAGTGTTGGCTACATTTACTTACATGCACTTAGGAATTAGGTTACACATACTGTAAGGCACTGGGGAGCAATTATAAGTCTTGACTTTTAGAATTGGTGATTCATTGAAGTCATTTACCTGGCTGTTTGAACATTACATTACATGTTACTTGTTAGACGCTTTTATCCAAAACGACTTACATACTCAATACTGTGGACAATCCCCACAGGAGCAATTTGGGGTGAAGTGTCTCAGGGACACAACGACATGCTGACTGCAGTGGGGTTTGAACCTGTGCTCCCTTGATCCGAACACCAACGCTCTATCCACTGCGCCACACGCCTCCTGAACCCATCATTATAGTTAAATCACAACAAGACAAGCATCAGTGTTTTATCAAATATAACACCTCATACAACACGTTATTTTGCCACAGAGGAGAGTAAACATGGTGTTAGGAGTTATTTTGAAATTAACCTGTTAAGCCCGAGAGACCCCGGTACCGGGGCACTGCCGCAACATCTTGCAGGAAACAGTGTCTGAGGGCATGTTCATTTAATAAACTATGAATGTTTTATATCCATGTAACGGGAAGAAACTCATCTAACTGATCATATTTTTTTTTTTTTAAAAAGAAAACCCACAATGCTAACGCTGGGCCTCTGAATTAGCAACGAGCGAAAAATGCTAACAGATTACTGCACCAAAAATCACTCACAAAACTTTATTATTTATCATTTCTCTACATCCAACACATCGATTCACATCGTGAGGTGACACAGAATCTATGGGTACCCTCAATATCACTGAATTATACGAAATCGCGACGTTATAAGCAAAAACAGACATCAAAACATTTGACGCTAGGTAGCTAAAAATGCTAACATTTTTACCTTGGCTCTGAAGTCTCTCCAAAGTGGTCTTCAATGGCATTAAAACGATAAAAACTCTGCTGAAGTTAATCCATAGGTTAATCCAATGTGTCTGTGTGCCTTTGAAATGATTTATGATAATCCATGAGCAATGAGATTGATAATCCATGTTTTTCCGTTTCTAGATATCAGAGCTAGAGTGTAGCTTCACTCTAATGCAAAATTACATGCGCAAAGCCCCCACCTTTTTGTTTCACAATGAGTGTGTGTGGGGGACTCCCCCTTCGATTCTATTGGCTCTAACGGTCAGAAAGAGGTGTCAACCATCAAAATCGAGCAAGGGGGGCCAGAGATATGGAAAATCCACCCAAATGACCCCAGAAGTGGTTTATTTTTGCTAAACCTCTCTAAAAAGGTCAAATTTCACTTGTTTTGCATCAATCTTAATACAGGGTACTTATTATATGTTGTACTTTGGATTCCTAAAGCTTTTAGTCTACCTTACCATCATCCAAGGGTAGTTTTCACTATAAGTACAAAATAATTTTTGGACGGACACTATAATTTACAGTCAAAAGATTATTAATTTAACCCTTTTAGAAGGGAAGATATGGTCATTTGTTCTGGGAATGTCATTTTCGAGCCTGAGACCTGAAAAACAGGCTCAGGGCTTAACAGGTTAAAGAACGGCCCCAGGCTGTGACAAAAAGTCAGAAGGTCAGGAGGTGGTATTATTTGCTAATGAGTTGACGCAAATAGTTGACACAGATCCCCATGAACATTCTTCAGGGGAAAAATATATCAGTGCATCCCCGTCACCGTGTGCTCTTCTTCTGCAGTCCAGTGGTGTTGGTGTGGAGTAAAGCGTGCAGTGATCTGGTACTTGGAGGTGATAAATGGGGGCCGGCAGACCCCGAGTGTTATCAGTGCTACCTGCAAACTAGGAGAACACAGGGTTGGCTCTGGGGTAGGACAAAGCCAGACTGTGGCTAAGGTTGATATATCGCTGCAGACTCACAATAGGATTCATTTTGTAAGGGCCTCTGTGAACATGCTGAGAACAAGAGGGGAAATAGCTGCAAGAGTGTGTGTTTATGGAGAGAGGAAGAGAGAGATGTAATTTATGTCCGTATATGTGTGTGTGCACGTTAGAAGAGACCTCGTAGACATTGATATGAATCACACAAAATGTTGTGTACTTCATTGGGTGTATTGCCAGGTGAAGTATATTCCTCTCTCCAGCTGATGATTGAGTTTTTGATAGAACCGCTGCCGTGTGTCTGTGTAAAGGATGCTCTTGTTAAAAAAAGGCATGCGGCTGTAAAACGGCCAACCAATTAATTCCAATCTGTTCCAGAGGGCAGATGACATCATAAAAGTGCGTCATCTTGCCAGAACCTATGATGTCAGTTTTTCAAAATCTACAAAGCCCGGGAGGTGTCATGGAGGGAAAAAACAACACTAATTTGTGCACTTGAGTTTTTAATTTGGGCTCTTGATTTCCTAATCTGTGCGCATAGACTGATGTAATATTTGACTTGCTGTGATACAGATGCTTTCAAGCTCTGTCTCTCTTTGCTCAAAGAAAGCTACAAAGCCGCTCTTCAATAAATACATGTAAAGTTGCTGTGTAGGTCCAATGCTGCCTCCGCATAAAAGAAAAACATCTGAACATACATGATATCTTTGAATAGGCTCTGTAAACGTAACAGATAGCAGAGGTGTGGACTCGAGTCACATGACTTGGACTCGATTCAGACTCGAGTCACCAATTTGATGACTTTGGACTCGACTTGACAAAATCACAAAACACTTGCGACTCGACTTGGACTTGAACACCAATGACTCGGGACTTGACCTGGACTTGAGCCTTCTGACTTGAGGTGACTTGATAATTTAATTCAGGGGTCTCCAACACGCCGATCACGAGATGCCGCTAGAAGAGCAGACTCCCGTCGGGGAGAGCAGAATCTTCAGCAGCTGCAACTCTTGCTGAGAATCCATGCAGGCAGGGGCGGGACTTTATTTTGCTGAGCCACCATGCGGCCAATCATATGCGAGGACACACTAGGATCATACCATTATGTGAAAGAAGGGTGGGGGGGCAGACGCTCCAAAGACAGCAGGTGTAGTGGTACAGGCCAGCTACACAGAGCGACGGGGAGACGGGGAGACAGATTTAAATGCAAGCGCGTCGGAAAAAGTCAAGAAATTAGCGAAAACCGAAAAAAGAAGCAGCTTCTGGCTGCATTTCAATGATATTGGAGAAAGCAAAGCTGAGTGCAGGATTTGTAAAATGAAAATAACCTTCAGAGCAGGGTTTTTTTTTTGGTAACCACTCAGGATTTATTGCCAGAGGTGGGAGAAGTTCAGATCTTGTACTTGAGTAACAGTACCAGAGTGTAGGAATACTCGGTTACAATAAAAAGTCCTGCATTCAAAATGTTACAAGTAAAAGTAGAAAAGTATTAGCATCAAAATATAGTTAAAGTACCACCTGCAGAGGGATCTAGATTCAGGTGTTCTTTTCCCCATAGAGACGCCTCGCTGCACATTATCCCTTGCATAAAGATAGATTGTGGGTCCCTTATAACATGCTGTACACAGTGGAAATAAACATTCTGGTCACCTCAACATCAGGGATCTTATCCATTAAACTCCTTCTGAATCAAACCGTCACGGTAAGCTTACCTTACTGATCCCTCTTAAAATAGAAGACAAACACGTTACTTTACTAGCAGAGAGAAAATGGATTATTAAATTATTAATGTGACTAATAAAGAGCAGTTTGATTATTAAGTATTATTCTGTTGATCGATGTCATTACATTTGTTGAAAAGCACATAAGGACTTGTTTAAGACTCGTTTTGTCAAAGTTTAGGACTTGGACTTGACTTGAACTTTCCCATCCTGACTTGAGACTTGACTCGGACTTGAGCGCAAAGACTTGAGACTTGACTCGGACTTGAGCGCAAAGACTTGAGACTTGACTCGGACTTGCAAAACAATGACTTGGTCCCACCTCTGCAAGTTACTAAGTAAAGTAAATAAGGTAACGATTTTCTAACAAATCATTCAAACTGAGTCCTCAGTCAAATATAACCTCAAGACACGACTGAACACGGATTACTGTCAAACTTGTATTAAAAGTTATCAAAATAAAAACAAATTAATATAATATTTAGCTTATAAGCTCTTTACTGAAAACATTGTACTGATGTTAGTCTTTTGTAATCATACATGTATATATGGTAAGTACATTAAATATTCTTTCATCAGTTAAATGCAACATACTTATAAATCGAGAAACAGTTTTTATTTAAGTTTTAGTAATACCCAGCAGTATTTGAATCAGCACAAAACATAAATGAATACACACCTTCCTCCAGCCCTTCCTCCACGTCCATGCTGTCTTCCTCCTCTTCATCGTCATAGTTGTAGTTTGGGTCAAAGGTCATGAACTTAAGGCAAAGCTTTGTCACCGTGGCAACATCTCCTTTGGACAGCTGTCAATCAACGGAAACAACATGAAGGTCAGTGTGTGTGTGTGTGTGTGTGTGTGTGTGTGTGTGTGTACCTTCACGGACGTGGAGGACGACGAGCTGAGAGAGTACTGTTTCCAGGCCTTTGAAGCCTTTATACGCAGGCACACACACACACACACACACACACACACACACACACACACACACACACACACACACACACACACACACACACACACACACACACACACACACACACACACACACACACACACACACGCACGCACGCACGCACACACACACACACACACAGACCTTCATGTTGTTTCCGTTGATTGACAGCTGTCCAAAGGAGATGCCCCCACATGTTGCCACGGTGACAAAGCTTTGCCTTAAGTTCATGACCTTTGACCCGAACTACAACTATGACGATGAAGAGGAGGAGGAAGACAGCATGGACGTGGAGGAAGGGCTGGAGGAAGGTGTGTATTCATTTATGTTTTGTGCTGATTCAAAAACACACACACACACACACACACACACACACACACACACACACACACACACACACACACAAACACACACACACACACACACCCCACACCCCCCTCCCGTCGACAATTTCCTGGCGGTAATTACTTGCGGCTCTGAGGTGAGTTTTCATTGCCAGTTGTGAAATAGCTCCACACGACTCTCCTCTTTCTCTCAGCCATCATGCTCGTGTGTCGCACTCGAGAGTCGCTGGCTGCTGCTGGCTGCTGTCAGTCAGCTTGATAATGGGAGTTCAGGCAGGGACACCTTCCTCCAGCCCTTCCTCCACGTCCATGCTGTCTTCCTCCTCCTCTTCATCGTCATAGTTGTAGTTCGGGTCAAAGGTCATGAACTTAAGGCAAAGCTTTGTCACCGTGGCAACATGTGGGGGCATCTCCTTTGGACAGCTGTCAAAGTGAGTGTGTGTGTGTGTGTGTGTGTGTGTGTGTGTGTGTGTGTGTGTGTGTGTGTGTGTGTGTGTGTGTGTGTGTGTGTGTGTGTACCTGCGTATAAAGGCTTCAAAGGCCTGGAAACAGTACTCTCTCAGCTCGTCGTCCTCCACGTCCGTGAACTTCAACACCATCGGGATTAACTTCTCTAAGTACACACACACACACACACACACACACACACACACACACACACACACACACACACACACACACACACACACACACACACACACACACACACACACACACACACACACACACACACACACACACACACACACACACACACACACACACACACACACCAAAGCTTATGAGTTTCTAGATGTGTTCTTTTTTCGTAAATTGAGAATGAAAATGTCAAAATGAAGATCTTTTCAAAATAAAAGTATGTTAGTAATCGAGATGGAAACTGAGGTTGTAAGTACTCAAGAACTAGGGTTGCGGTCGAATAGTCCATTTAGCTTAGGAACCTTCCTAACGGAGTGAAATGACCCGGAAGTCCCTCAGTGGCAGCCATGATAAGTGCCGTTCGAATTCTCTAAATGAAAGGAAAGGAGGTTTCAAACTTCCTTTATAACCTCCTTTAGCTTAGGAACCACTGGACCTCCCTAACCGAAAGGAGAGGAGAAAATGCTGCCCCACAATGCCTTGCGGCCGCGGCATTTGCCGTCACACAACAGTCGGCCGTTCACGGAAACAACCGATTATGAACGAGAAATTATATCATGAAAGTTACGGTGCTTATTAAGCATTTTAAAACGTATGTGGTAAGTTGCCAAAGTGCTTTGTTTTGAACGTTCATCAGTATTATAATCAAAAAGAGAAATATGAACGTTAGTTTTTACTGAAATGATCAAATAAAGTCAACATTTCACAGTCTTTACTGAGCTGTGGGGTTTGTTCAACTTTTAGAAGATGTTTGAATGGTGATATACACAGTGATAGATGTTAAGGACTAACTTTATAATAAATACAGTATTTATTTTAAGATATTTTCATACAATCATATGTATTGGGATCATTTGTATTAATGTGGACCGGAGGGAGAGGGTGACGAGCATAAGTTTCACTTTCCTTTTTTATTTCAATTCCAACTTTGGTCATGAAGAATATGTTTCTCTGTTGTCCCTGTTCATAAAGCATAAAGCAACAGCATCAGAGCACGGTGCAGAGTCTCTAGATGAGTTTACAGTAGTCCCTCGTTCTTATTAAACATCCATGTTGTAGTCCGCTGTATAGAAAACTGTAGTTTCCATAGTTTCCCCACAGCAGCAGACGCACATTTATGACCTCCGCTGGCGCATCATAAACACGTCGGATAGTGAAAGTGCAGTCGGTTCTCTAAAGTGCCGCAGTCTCTTCTCCTAAATCCTTTTGAATTCTCCTATCCACTATCCCTTAACCCCGTGACGTTTCACTCCGAGGTCAAGGAATAGACGATAGGGTTAGAATTTAGGAGCTGTTTTTTTGGAGTATTCGACCGCAACCTGAGATGCAAAAGGTGCGGGGGAAAAAAGATGACAACTTAGCCGTGTGATTGAAAAAGATACTTTAAAATCATTATGCAAAAGCGTTCTGTACTTTAGACTACTGAGTCATTATTGAGAAATGTCTCATTATGATCATTTTGAGAAGCTAAACAATTATTTTTAGATATCTAATCATTATTTTAGCATATTAACTCATTCATTTAAGATACTAAGTCATTATTTCTTAGATATTAAGTCACTATTTTCAGATACTGTGTCATTAGGTTTGAGGTATTTCATCATTACCAAGATACCATGTCATTATTTTGAGATAATAACTCATTGTTTAAACTTTTCTAATTGAAATGACCAGAATATTCTCTTTGTCTTTCATCACAAGGCAACAAATCTAAATGTCTTCATTTTATTTTGTTACTCTACGTGCAGAGATGGCCTTCCTCAGTCAGGAAACCAATGTGTTGTCCTTAAATCTAGTATCACGTGAGCGTGGCAGCAGATCTCACCGACTCGATGGCCACCCTGACGACTGACGGTTGCTAGGCACTGGATGTACGTCCTCGCCATGGAAACGGGCGGGGCCTTTGCGAGCTCATTGGTCAGGTGTTCAGTCAGCTGGGAGAAGAGGGCGGGGCTACAGCAGGGAACCAGGTGACCCAGAGCCAAGATGGAGCGCTTCCTCACCGCCATCCTGGAGCTGGTCAGCTGACGGAGGGATGGATGGATATTAGGTTTATCTGAAGGGTGTCTATTTTAACTCACAACCAATATGCAACGTGGGTAGGCAGTTCATTAAAACATCACTATTTTGAGATGCTTACTCTTTGTTTTCAGATACTAAACTTTGTTTTTGTACATTCCCAAAGATATTGAAGTGACTGTTATTTTGTATATATTGATTGTTGTGCTTTTATCTTAATGTGTGCATATGTATAAATGTGTCTGTTGATTGTGTATATATAGGATATACATATTTTATACATATTTTCATATATCTTTGTTATAGTATTCTGTATTGTGGGAAACGGTATTTCGATCTCTCTGTCTGTACACACAAACTGAAAGATTGACAATAAAGTTGACTTTGACTTTTTTCCTTATCCTAATGACTTTATTGCATGGCTAGGTTTTCATTTCATTATAATATAACTTAATTAACTATGATTGATACAAATAAATACAATAAAATAACATATAATAATATGATCAAAAAAACTATTATTGCTACTAATATTCTGATTTGATCATATATCATTTGATATGATATTCCCTCTTGTCTTTTGTTATATATGTGTTACCTGAGGGAGCAGACTGGAGAGCAGAGCGCTGTGGAAACTGACCAGAGCACCGCTCAGCCTGTGAAAGACAAATGAAATCATTAAAACAAAAACAATCAATAATGAATTAGTCAATGAACACAAAGATAATGCTGGTGTTCAGTATAATGTGAACATTCATCATATATTAACAATTGAGCAATTTAAATGAGCTAATTATAAGAGACAAACAGCTGAGATATTTCCATCTTAACCAAAGCTGCTTGAAATGTTTTATAATGTTTTGTGGTTACTGTCGTGACAAACTATCATATAATCATTTAAAACATATAGACTTATACTCTGGTTGCCTTTTACTCTGTTAAATTGTATGTTTAGTCTTGTATGTGTTTAACAGAGACATATGTTAAGGATTTACATTTCTGGAGGGCAAAGGGAAATGTAAAAGGGGAATATGCAATTGGTTAAGGACGAGGGGGTTTTATGGTTTAATGGTGGGGATGTTTAGATGATGCCTGAGAGAATTTAAGGCCCAGACCCCACGGGAACGAAAACGGGTTGTATCCGCATATTTCACTTGCGTATAGCCCTTTAAGCTACACGACGCCGTAACGGAACGGTAGAAACGGACCCTGCAAACGACAACGGGTCCAAAGGTGGATAGATCTGGGAACGGAGCGCTCTGGGGGGTCCAACGGGGCCGTGTGGTCGCCTATACGGTCATCCTTTTCTGATAATGACAACGCAATAGCCCCGCCTCTCCCCACCTCTGCTGCTCACCCCCGCAAAAGTACACTGCACACTGAATTCAGATTATTTATCTTTATCTCGATATGGACATAAACGCGAGTGAAGTCTAATCTGACAGGACGGAGACACGCAGCTCCTCCCGCTGTGATGCAGCGAGAGCAAAACACACACTTCAAGTCAGATCATCACCCTTAGCTATTTTAATTACCTCTCAAACTACCTAAACTAGTTATAAATATGTTTATTTTTACTGTCGGGTCACTCATTACAGGATCAGCTGCTGCATGAGACAGACACTGACGCTGTCAGAAGAGAGGAAAAAGAGACAGGCTCCGTGTATTTTATTATTATATATCATTATATAGAGTCGTTATTCATTTGTTTTAAAGCTCAATAAATAACAAAGAAGACCTTTGACCGGCACTTTTATAATTTTGTCCGGAAGATTTAAACTTTAACGGACATCTTGAACGGCGAAAGTAGCTGAAACTGAAACTCTGCCGCACGGTCCCCTCGTTCCT